TGTGTTAACGATGTGAGTGAGTGCAGGTACAACGGCAGGAGAAATGGCTTGAAGGAGATGAGATGGAATAGGATCCAGCGGACAAGTAGTAGGATGATTGGAAAGGATGAGTTTAGAGACTTTTGCCTCAGAGAGTGGAGAGAAGGATGAAAACGAGTGTATGTTTGCTGGTAAGATGTGTTTGACAGTTTGTGGTGTGACAAATTGTGCACTGAGGTTTGTAATTTTATTAATGAAGCATGTGGCAAAGTCGTCAGCTGTTAGAGTTGATGAAGGAGGGGGAGGAGGAGGACAAAGGAGCGATGAAAATGTTTTAAAGAGCATGTGAGAGTTAGACGAATTGTTAATTTTGTTATGGTAGTATGTCCTTTTAGCAGTGGAGACATTAGCAGAGAAGGAAGAGAGGAGTGACTGATACACATTAAGGTCAGTAGTATTTTTTTATTTGCGCCACACCCTTTCAGCAGCCCTGAGCTTAGAATGATGCTCACGGAGAACATCAGACAGCCAAGGGGCAGAAAGGGTGGTACGGCCTGGCCTGGAAGACAAGGGGCAGACAGTGTCTAAACAACGTCCTCTGGTTTTATCCACGTCTCTGTCAGGGCCATGAGGTTTAGTCCTGAATGACTAGTAATAGATGTAATGAAATCTGCTTTATTTACTGCAGACTGACAATTCCAGAGACCAATAGAAAAAGAAAGTAGTGTATTAGCGCCGGTGTGTCGCTGCACGGTGGAGTCGCACGGTAGAGTCGATGGTCTTTACACTCTTCGGTCTTCACACGAGGGCTGCCGCAGTATACTAACTAGGGATGCACGATATTGGATTTTTGCCGATATCCGATATGCCGATAATTTTCAACTCATTTTGGCCGATACCGATATATAATTATTTTTAATTTTGGTTAGTTTTTAACAAGAACTTATTTGTTAGAATTAAATAAACAATAATAAAGTTATTTTATAATGACAGTACATTGAAGATTTGAAAATAATAAACTATATATAAATCACTGCATTTTTTTTCAGAAAGATGCAGTAGTAACCTTAACATTTTATTTTAAGGTTTAACATTTGTAAATTGTCTAAAGCAAGAGTTGTAAAAATTCTGAAAATCTCTTAGAGCTCATAATTTGTTTAAAAATATAACATATTACACATGAATGAATAAATCAGTATATATAAAATTATTTAATTTAAATGTAATGTTTGTGATTTTTATTTTTTTTTCCTGTAAGCTATAGCTTCTGACCTTTAAATCAAAACATACTCATCATTTTATGGCATCAATTACTGCTCTGTTTAATCAGAAACACATTTTAATTTTATTAGAAGTAGGCCAACAACGTCACCTACAGAATTAAAACTCCTTACTGAGCGGGCATTAGGACCCGGGGGAGGCTGCCGCTGCTGCCACTGCACGTGCTGTTACTGTTTACTCAGTCATACACCGAACGCTTCATTCTGTACATACTTTCTCAGTTTAAATGCAGCGATCAAAACAATGAATCCAATCACCATTCAGGAAAAACTTTGCTTCAAGAATGAGCCACACAGCTGACGTGATCTAATCGCTAGCACACCCTGAGCACATGTGAGTTAATGTTTTCCTCTTATCGGCAAGACATATCGGCATAATTTTTCATATCGGCCCGATGCCGATATTTACATTTAAACCCATTATGGGCCGATTCCGATATCAGTCCGATAATATCATGCATCCCTAATACTAACCTTTTTTTATATCCGTTTGACAAAACGGAAATTGAATTCAGCTGGACACACTTTACTGTTTATCACAAAAAAGGGCTAAGCAAGCGCACAACACTGACAAGGTATGAGATACAGTACGAGACCAACTTCAGCACGTCTCAACACAGTAAACAAAACAAGCGTTTCCTAGCAACGACAACTGCGCCAAACACTAATGAGACAAGAAATAAATACACTTACGATCTGCTTTTAATTTCCGCTGATTGACTGCTTCTCTCAAAGAGTATTTCTTTACACTGTATTTTGCTAGTGCTTGAACACACTTTACTGTTTATCACAACAAAGGGCTAAGAAAGTGCACGTACGAGACCAAACGCAACTTCAGCACTTCTCAACAAAGATTTTAATTGGTTCATTTAATAGTAGACATTTCGAGCATGCTATAGATATATTTCTCATGTCTGTGAGGCAAGTAGCCTATACACTGAGTTTTGATTCATTTTTGTGACACGCTTCAGTTCACAGAGACCGAGACAGCAGAAAGCGCATCATGTTTGTTTTTGTTATTTTACAAAAGCACAACATTTTGTTGATATTGTGAGTGTACACAAATAAAACTAGACCCTTTATGGTTTCAAATAAAATATTTAGAATGATGGAGCCTCCATGTCATGCAGTAACCGCGCTAATACAGTGCCTTGCAAAAGTATTCATACCCCTTCATTTTTTTGCCCATTTTATGTTATGTTGTTGCCTTATGTTAAACTGCTTTAAAGGGATAGTTCACCCAAAAATGAAAATTCTGTCATTAATCACCCGTAAGACCTTGTGTTCTTCTGAACACAAATTAAGATATTTTTGATGAAAACAAAAATACTTTTTGTGCGCAAAGTAAGCAAAAATAACGACTTTATTCAACAATTCTTCTCTTCCGTGTCAGTCTCTGCTGCGCATTCATGAGAGTACTTTACATGAGAGTACATGAGAGTAATTATTCTAAACCGCCATTTTACAGAAATGGTGTTTACAGAATAACGTTAAAGTGGAAAAATATTGGTAATTATAACCTCGCACTTAGGTTTTGATTAAAATACATCACATCCGGTCGGGCGGTCGCATACGGTCTAGCTGCAGAAGTTCAAATATTTTTACACATCCGAAGTTCAAATCGGATCTGAAATTTCAAATATGATTGTAGCTCCCGCACTACTCTCCATTGGAAATGAATGATTTCCGGTCTATTGCTTGTCGTTTGTCGGAGATAGTGGAAAGGCGGCTTGAAAAACATGTTCTGTCTGATCGGGGCCTTAAACGATATGCTGCTTTGTTTACATCGGTACCCAAGGAAACACTGTATCGCTGCTGTTCCATAAGCAGAAAATGCGAGCCGAAAATATAGGCTACATATAATAATAATAATAATATATGGCGCGCCGCGCCCCGCCCGGCAGTATTCAGCGCGCATGTTTCACTCTCCTCATCACTGGATGACGCTCCACTCAATATTCCGCTCTTTGAATGTGCTTTCCGCTCGTGTACCGCTCATGCTCACCGGAAAAGCAAAGTCCGCTCATAGTGCACCATGCATTAACTGTTAACAAGCACAACTGTTGATTTTAAAGGGGTCATATGATGCGATTAAAATTTTTCCTTTATCTTTGGAGTGTTACAAGCTCTTGGTGCATAAAGAAGATCTGTAAAGTTGCAAAGACTAAAGT